TGTCTTTCTGGTAAATAAAAGCCATGTCTGGATGCATCTGAATCCACGAAATTCTCTTTTCACCTTTTGAAAGCAAACTTCAAATGTGAAAGATGAACAATACAATTAATCTGCTTATACCCAGAGGACAAAGCTCCCTGTAACCAGACACCCTGGAGTTAAAGAGAGAGAGAAATGTAATTTAACACCACTGTTTGTGTTTCCTGGTCCCCTCCCTGTAGTTTTCTCTTTTTTTGTTCTTTTGCAGTGTGAGATGCTGGAATCCTTTTGCTCTCATAGTTTTTTTAGGCACAGGAACCTGTAATTCCTCACAGCTTCAGGTTTCCAGAAAAAATACTTCAGCCTGCAGATGCAGAAGCCCCTGGTTTCATACAAGAGAAGCTGCTGCTGCTCTTTTGCTATTTAGGTCTTGAGAAGGTCTCCCAATATCATGTGATCTGTTTTAGATGAGAATCTTTCTGTCTGGCTCAGAGTGAACCATATTGATCTTAATTTTCTTTCTCCTGACGGCTGTTGAGAAACAGCTGCAGTGGAGACTGTGAGCAGCCAGAAGAAAGAAAATCTAGAGGTCAGCTGAATCCAGCGATTGCATCGTGAATAGCAAACAAAAGCAGGTCTATCTTAATCAGAAAGAGATTTAATTTCACTGTTGGGCCTGAATGTGGCACTGAAGGGTCTAGTAAATAGAATGTTTTTGGTAATGTAAGTGTTTTTAATGTTTTGTTACATTTCTAATAGTTGTACTGACTTTCTCACGTAGTTTGGGGGAAATCTGAGACACTAGTTTACATTTGTTACATTATAAAATTTTGAGCAGAAGCGGGTAATCCACACCTTAGCATGATCCAACAAAGCTTTTTGTTATGTCAGGAGTGCTTTTTTTCAGTCCCAGTAAATTTTCAGTTGGGGTCAAGTCACACGACTGTGGAGGGAAAGCCACAGCTTCAGTAGTGTTTGGTCTTCTTTGGTTTTCAGTTAGTTCTTTCAGTGTTTTGATGTGTGTTTGGGGTCAGTGTTCAGCTGTAGTAGTAATTCTTCTACACAAAGATGCAAACCAGAGGGTGGAGCATGTCTCTAAAGAATGGAGTACTGCTTCTTCTTGCTCAGGGTGGAGTCCATTCTGTGTCCAGCTGCAGCAATGTTTTACTATGTGCTTAACTCACTGTGGTATCATTCTCTCTCCCATTTGTCTCCTCACGCAGACCCTTTTGTTACTGCCACAGATCTCATCATCACTCAGTATCTTCCATCACCCACAGCATTTGGTTTTGTTCTAAATGCTGCTTGTCCTCTGAGTCCACACAGCCTTCTTTTTGACTGTGCTTTTGCTGATTGGAGTCTTTTTGTTCTTGTGTTTGAAAAATCTGCCTGTGTGAGGAAAATGTTTTTCTTCCTCTCAGTGAGCAAAGCTTCACTTGTCTTCTGGTGGTGTGCCTACTTTTTCTTCTGCCTGACTGTGAGAAAACTGATGCAATTTCAAAGTGTTTTAGAGTGCCATACACGAGATTAGACACTGTGAAAGTGCCTCTTTGCTCAGAGTCTAACATTCTGCTGAGTTCTGATGCCATGTACCCCACTATCATAACGCTACTTAGCAGAGTACTACTGGAAACTTGAGGCCATATTTATACTGTATAAACAGCTGCAAGGTGATTTACTTTATAAAAGTCTCTGTTGAGTAGATCTAATCAACATTGGCAATACAACTATCTTGCTTTGACTTATTTTCTGACTTTAAAAGCTGCCTACAATATATATACAATACAAAATAGGGAAAATGTCCTGTGTGGGGTTTTTTTTTTTGTTTGTTTGTTTTTAAACCATTTTCATTCAGCATGTGCCAACACAAACACAACTCTATGCGAGAGCTTCTTTTTTTGTGTCTTTTATTGCAATTATATATGTTATGTGTACCAATGTTCATTAAAAATAATTTTCCTTATTTCGCTGCCATGTTTAGGGGGGTCACCAAAGTGAGTCATCTGCCTTCATCCCACCTTATTCCTGCTGCATCCATTTATCTTTTCTGTGCTCTTCCGCTGGGAGCTCCATATTCAACATTCTCTGTCCAGTGTATCCACTATCCCTCCTTGGCTCTCCCAGACTTGTCTTGTCGTTTCAAATTTTGTCCATTCTGGTCACATCCAATGAAAATCTCACATCTTCAACTTTGCCACCTCCAGCTCAGCCTGCCACCAGACATCATAGCATGACTCACTACCATCTCTTTCACTTTTATTGCTATCCTTTTGTTGAAATCACCTCTAACTCTCTCCTCCACCCACTCCACCCTGCATGTACTCTCTTCTTTACCTCTCTTCTGCAATGTCCATTGCTTTGGATGGTTGACCCCAGGTATTTACCTCATCTACCTTTTCTACATATTCTCCTTGCATGTTCACCTTTCAACCTGCCTCCTTTCATTCACTCAATCGTAATCTATTTAGCTTCTATTGCCCTTCATTCCTCTACTCTCCAGGGCATGCCTCCACCTCTCCAGGCTCTCTTTCACTTGCTCCCTACTCTCACCACAGATCACAATGCTGTCTGCAAACATTATAGACCACAGAGACTCCTGCGTGACCTCATCTGTCAACCTGTCAATCACCACTGAAAACAAAGAGCTCAGAGCTGATACCTGAGGTAATCCTAGTCCCACCTTGAACATATCTGTCACTCCTACCACACACCTCACCACTGTCTCGGTCCTCACACATGTCTTGCACAATCTTCACATTCTTCACTGCCACTCCTGACTTCCTCTTGCCGTTCCATTAAAAATTATAAAGAAAGATATTAAGATGAGTATTCATAAGCAGTTCCTCCTTTTTATCACATAAGTATTACCTTTCCTTACCTTTACCTTTATTACCTTTCCTAAAAATTTAAGGAAGTTTTTACACAAACGCAAAGAAACATGTCAACATAACCTTCTTCACAGCAGGCGTTCATAGGCAACATTTCAGTCCTGACTTATCTGTTGTCAAAGCTTATGATGCCAAGTGTGAAAAAGGGCTGGATGTTCAAGATATCTCTAAAAACAACTTTACTCCCCCACAATTTCTCATCATGTGTCATGAGAGATCTTTGGAGATTAGTAACAGATAATGCTCTTCAGGTGAGGTTTCATACCTGAGGTTTAGCGACAGTTTCACTGTCCTGCACCGTGCATTCCTGGACACTGACTCTCAAGCATCAGCTGACAGGAGGCAAAATATGTCACTTAGCTGGTCTGAGGAATGCCATATACACTTCAGGGCTGCTTTATGTGTTCTTTGTTGAGATATCATGTTCCTGAAAAAGAGCGAGGTATTGTGTTTTGGACTCACCCTCTACTCACCTATCTCTACATCACCTTTAGTGTCATTTAAAAATCTTGCAGGGAAATTGCAGGGTAAGGTTGAGTTACATGCAGATGACTGTTTGTGGTAATGTACCATTATTTCAGACTGATGATGATAGTGAAGGTATGTACTTTAGCACAGAGCAAGCTTTGTCACAGCACAAAGCATTTATTATTGAGGCAAAGAGGGGAAACAGTGCTGATACAGCTCCCTTCCTGCTTGTCTCGGGCAAGGGAAAGGCGCTTTATAATCACCAGGTGTCTGGATGTAAGAGTGCAATAGCTGTCCAAGCTCAAGAAGCTCTACTAATCTCATCCGTCAGACTAGTTCTCATTTCCATTTCCTTTTCACTTTCATTTCAATTTACTTGTTTCCTGGCACAAGTGCATGGCCGGATATTTCACAGAAAATAAGCGCAGCGTTTTGCGTTTTCACAATACAGTCCACGATTTATGGTATAATTTCCCAAGTGTTACTATGTTTTTTTTTATGTTTAAATTAAGTGTGAATTTTTACTGGTAGGTGTAGTTAGACAATGGAGTAACAACAGAAAAGAAAAAGAAACAAATTATACTGTAAGTGTTTTTAAGTAATGAGTACCCGTGAGATACGTTGGAGGAAAGGACTTCTTACATTTTAATTAACCGTATTATCATTACGTGGCCTGTATTATTAAGTACCCTAACCCCCTAACCCCACAGATGTAGGTATAGTTTCCAAAGTGAGGAGCTTTGTAGGAGTGTGCCATCTTATTCTGAAGGGACATGAGGGACAATATGGTTGAGACCTGGAATTTTGTGGAGTCATACCCTGTAGCCTAAAGAATAAAATAAACAAAATGGGAAATCAGTAATAACCACTTATCAACATGTAAGCAGGGGGCGGTTACAATACTGTATAACTCAGGTTCACCCTAAATATTAGGTAGTTACAGTGTAATAACAGCAGGTTGATCTAAGCTGTAATACATTTCTTGCACTTGACAGCTACTTCCAATCATTCCCTTACTCAACAGTTGTCACCACAGTTGGTAACTCCACATGTGTGATTTTGCAGTTTTATGCAAGATGTCCTTCCTGACAAAACCCCAAAGGTGATTTGTGTCTTCAAGTGGAATCAAACCAGTGACCTTTCGCTTGTCAAGGAAATGTGGAAACCACTACACAGCCGTTGTGCTTAAAAATACTGTATAATTACCGTTTAAGATGGATAAACATTATCGTTTCTTCTAAAGGACAATTTCCTCTAATGGGAAAACCAAACAAAAACAAATAAATAATATATTATTTTCAATTTCTTTGTTTCTAAATGTTTCATGCTACTTATTACTTTAAAATGCCCAAATATTTATATAGTGCAGTTTTTGTCCTCTTCTCTTTTAAACCGCAAATTGTGACTCCTTTGTTTTGCAGTACATACAGCAAATCGAAAATGTTTGGAAACTACAATTTATGTAGGTATTATGAAGTACTTCCAATAAAATATAAATAAAATATAACCATATTTCGTTGTATTAAAGTATACGTGTAAGCATAATTTAAAACAATGTTCACCGTGACTGAAAAAATAATTTTAAAAAAAGGGAGTGTCTGTTTGGTATCTTCCTGTACTAACTGTGTGGAATCCGTCTGTTTTGTCCCTCGCTGGCTGCCGTGGTGCCAGAGGGGTTGCCTGGAAACGGCGGAAACGTTTGGGCGCAGCAGCGATGGAGAAGTATGAGAAAATCAAAGTTGTTGGAAGAGGAGCTTTCGGGTAACGTCTGGCTATACTTACACTTTATATGTAATTTATAAAAGTTCTTTTATGTCACACACATCAGCCTGTCTGTAAATGCTGCGCTGTCAGGAGCGAAAGAGGAAAAAAAATTTCCCCTTAAAAAGAAGTAACGGAAATCGTCAAACGTGCGAAGAAGACGACGGAGAAGGACGTGTTACCAGAAGTAACAGAGCACTGGACGCGATTTATTTACTTTAAAAACCAGCTATCTGAAAGGCATGTAGAGGTCAGATGAGTGTTAAAGTCTGCCAAAGTCACCAAAAATGTTTCCCACCCTCGGTCAAACCCTATATACACTATATTGTCAAAAGTATTTGGTCATCTGCCTTCACACGCATATGAACTTGAGTGACATCCCATTCTTAATTCATAGGGTTTAATTTTATGCTAGTCCAGCATTTGCAGTTATAACAGCTCCAACTATTCTGGGTAGGCTTTCAACAAGCTTTAAGGGTGTGCTTATAGGAATATTAGACCATTCCTCTAAAGGCGGATTTGTGAGGTCAGACACTGATGCTGGAACAGAAGGACTGGCTCCCAGTCTCCGCTCTAATTCATCCCAGAGGTGTTCTGTCGGGTAGAGGTCAGGACTGTATGAAGGCCAGTGAAATTTCTCCACACCAAACTTGCTCTTCCATATTTTTATGGACCTTGCTTTGTGCACTGGTGCACAGTCATGTTGGAACAGGAAGCAACTTAGCCGCTGCTGTTCCCAATCTCTTCCACTTTATTATAATACCACTAAAAGTTGACTGTGGAATATTTAGAAGTGAGGAAATTCATAACTGGACTGGTTGCACAGGTGACATCCTATCACGGTACCACGCTGGAATTCACTGAGCTCCTGAGAGCGACCCATTCTATCACAAATGTTTGTAGAAGCAATCTGCATGCCAAAGTGCTTGATTTGATATACTTATGGTTATGGAAGTGATTGGAACACCAAATTTCAGTGATTTGGATAGGCGACTGAATACTTTTGGTAATATAGTGTTAGTTGGTCCAGATTAGAGCAGGGCGATATGGCCAAAAATATTTATCACGATATATATTTGAAAATTTGCGATAACGATATAACCGACGATATAATTGATGCGAGACAAAATACAACTCCACAACATTACTAGCGCAAAAAGACAACCTTCCATTTATTTTCACTTAAACAAGAAGCTGGTTTTTATGTACATTAAAGCTTTATAAAAATGTAACAGTGCAAATGCACATTCCTTGCTGAAAGTTTAACCAAAAGGCATTTCCAGTAGAAATGGGCTGACATATCCTGAGCATAACCATGTATAATATCCACTGAAGTTAAAAAGAGGTGCTTTGCAACATTAAACTGCAGTGTGCAGTACGCATTTTTCGGACCATAAGGTGCACGGGATTATAAGGCACATTAAGCGAAACAAAGCAGTCAGATAAATCAAACTTTATTAAACTCATTCTTCTTGCTTCCTCCACTTCTGTACCATTGATTCATTAATGTTGAATTCTCTGGCAGCTGCTCTATTCCCATGTTGTTGCAGTATATTAATGACTAACCTCGTATTGTGGATGGATTATCTCAGTTGTTCTCCTGACTGAAGTTTGGTCCGTTTACAGCATCCTGCCATGCGATTGCATTTGTCTCTAACCATGAAGAACCTTCACGTTAACTTTTATAAGTGGGAAAGTGTTAGTGTTCGTCCTCCAGCTTCACTGTTTATGTTATGCTAACATAGCTGTGTCGCTAGCGATCACGTAGCACATCATTATATACCAGCTAGCCCAACTTCAGTAACCCTACAAACGTCACTGCTGTTTAGTTTCCTGTCTTCATTTATGTTGGAAGTGATAGCAGAGCTGTACGTTTGATTTTTTTCAGAAATCTCTCAGTCAGAACATGCAATATCATGCTTAGGTAACTAGCGAAACTAGCGAGCTAACTTCCGCTAGCTTCCTGCTAACTTCTAACTCCGTTAAATGTAATAACTTGTTTTCATGGATGCCTGGAAGTTAAACTTTATAGTTACACCTGGTAAAGCAGCAATGCTGATCGTTTTACTAAAGATGAAAGAATTTAGACAGTTTTTAACTCTAAGTGATGCTGCAGCGTTGTTTGACCTGAATGTTACGGAGTTTAGGACCCAGATGACTCCCTGATTTAAGAGCATCTTAGTCCGACAAATATGACAATAACAACGGCCGCTTGCATGTTCTGCAAAAAAATGTGCTTTGTCGTGTATCTGACGGACAAACACCAAACCAGTTCCACATCACGGAAGTTGCACCATTTTTACAAACCAATTCTGGTTCATCTGTTTCACTCAACAATCGGCCATGTGCGTATGAAAACAAAGGCACTGCGCATGCGCGTTTTACTCCCATTCTATCACGATATTTCATTTTCCTATCGTTGCCTAACATTATACCGGTATTACCGTGAACGGTATAATATGGCCCAGCCCTAGTCCAGATGACAGGGTAAGATGACAAATGAGTGTAAATAGTTTGTAACCAGCCTACAAACTGAATTTCAAAGTTTAACTCTAATTTTTTTTTATTAAACTTCAACTAATTGAATGAGTTTTTCTGGAGTTTTGAAAAAGAATATGTGTTGGCTAGTCTTTTAAGAAAGAGGCACTGAAGTCTTAAATTGAATGAAACTTTTAATCTTTTAAGTGTCATGAAGATATATAATTTTAGCTGATAAACAAAAACCCCAAGAGGTCATAAAACACTACAACTATTTTTCCAATCACAAACTTTATAGCCAATGACAAAAACACTACCATGTCACATATGAATAAATATTAATTTGATGGTCAAAGATGGTCAAAGAGTCGGTTTTGCTTAGGAAGGTTTCTGCATGAAGTGACTTGGAAGAATAAACATTGCAGGCATAATCGGAGCTGGTTGAATTCTCTAAGTACTAAGAAAAAGCAATTCACATATTTATGTGTGATTTTCAATTTTATGTGCTAAACCTTTATAGCTTATTTTTAAATGATCAATATTATGCTACTGTCATAAAATCTGCTTGTTGTTGCTTTACACGAAGAAGGGAGCTTTATAAGTAGGAAAAGCTCCATAAATAAAGATTATGAGCTATATTGAGTTACACTAGATCATCAGAAAATATGACTGAAGTAAATAATCTCATTTTGACTGGTATGGTATACACTTTATGATTTCCATGTCCCTGTTCATTTAAATGTCCAGCCTTGCTAATGAAGTTTTACTGTATTTCTTAGGGGTGGTTCTCTTTTTATGTGACTGTGTGAAACAACATGACACGAACATGTTTAAGATTTAGTTGTTGTCTTCACTCTTCTGAAAATCCACAACATCTGCCATCACATTTTTAAGAAGCTGTGTATAGTGTAAGTAAAGTTGGATTCTTTGAGGACCGTCCTTCTCTTTTCCTTATAGTGTCCATTACACCTGACCATTAAGGTCAAGGTAAAGAATTTTTTGGACTATTTGTCCACAGCATATATATATTGATTGGAGATGAGAGGGCAGTGGGAACAAAGCGTAGCTGAAGGTAATCAAATGCAAGTAAAGACAGACAGGAGGTAAAAAACTGAATCAAGATGAGTAATCTGACTATCAAAGCAAAACTGAAAATAATTGAACATTCAAAACATAATAAATAAAGCCAGACAAAAAGACTCACAATAAAGATGATCATAGAGACAGGGGGACACAAAGACTGAAACACTGGGCAGACTAGAATAACAATCCAATCAAAACAGAAACCAAAACTCAACAAATTCCAAAAAATCAATTTTCAGTAACATCTCAGAAACCTCAGGACTGTAACACAAATCAAATATACTTTTCAGGTACACAGATGGAGAAAGCCTCTGATGTCTTCTGAAACAAAATCAACTAATCTAACCCAAATATAGCAGAAATTTCATTTGTAACATTGACATTTATTATTTTCATTCTATTTGTCTGAATTCCAACTTGTGATCAAAATACCATAGAGGCAGGAAAAAGAAATCTTGTTTTCCATACCTGTACATATCACTTTGAATTGGTGTTGGTCATACTTCACATCTGAATGATAAAACTGTCATTAAAAGATGGCCTGTTTGATGTTTTCACAATGAGACATGGGATTGTGCTGCTTACATTTCATAAATAATGCACATCAAGTGGATTTATCCCGAGCCTGAGCTGCTCTGCTCATTTTGCAGTTTATTTATAACTACTTAAATAATCCATCAGAGGTGGGAAGTCACAAGGTCCTGATCTGCACAGCTGTACTTTTATGTCAGTACTTTATTTGAATAGAACACAATGTTGATCCCACAGCATGGCAGAGTTATTTTTTGAGCCCAGATGTTAAATCGGCTGATAAAGTGTTATTATTTTTCTACATAAAATCCAGTCAGGTTATATGCTAAGAAGACATGCACTGTGTTGGTGTCCCTTCCATTTATTTCTCTTTTTATTCTGTGCCAGCCATGTGTGGGAGTAGTTCTTAAAGGTTAGTACAGAATGCTGTGAAAGGGTCAGATTTTTCAGAATCTCTATTCTTTTACAACTTTGTCTCACATTAGCTTAAAAATCTTAAGTTAAATATTGAGGTTATTTTACTGTGTTACTGTGTTTATTTGGTTCACATTATCGCTTCCCCAGAGAGTAACGTGTAATAAATCAGTGCCAAAGCTTAACAATGTCAAATCTAAACTTCAGCAAATCACCCTGCTCATATTTATTCAGGAAACGATATCTCTCATTCTTCTTCACTTTGCTCTGCTGTCAGGATTGTTCACCTGTGCCGCAGGCGCAGCGACGCGGCCTATGTCATCCTTAAGGAGATCCCGGTGGAGCAAATGTCACGAGACGAGCGTCTGGCAGCACAAAACGAGTGTCAGGTGTTGAAACTGCTCAACCACCCAAATATTATAGAGTACTATGAGAACTTCCTGGAAGACAAGGCCCTAATGATAGCGATGGAATATGCTCCAGGTAACCTCGCTATAATATCTTATTACACATCTCCCTTTTGTTAATTGTACAGCATTGTTACTTTTCCCATGATATAGTCCTGCAGGGCTCCATACCTTTGCTGGTTCCCATCATGTTAGGCCTGGGAATACCACATGAGGCTGTGTGATAGTATTACAATTCAGAAATCTGTTTATCTATAATGTAAAAAATGTAGATTGCCATTAGTGAGGCCAGCCTTCTGCACAAATGCACCAAAACAAAAACCTAAAATCATGAGGCTTGGATCTTTATATTTTCATACTAAAGACGAGGACTTTGCCAAGGCCTCTAAAGTTCTGCAAATTACATTTTCTCAATTTGTGATTGGTTAAGTAGCTTGTTTTGCCAGTGGAACTGCCATAGCTTACAGATATTGGTGCACGTACATTGTTTTGATTCAGATATAAAACCTTACATATTTTGGTGTTTTATGAGCATTTTTCACTCATTATCTTTTCTTTGTCATTGCTCCAACTATTCTAGCAGTAGTTTGTTTGATTTTTTGGTAAATATATCCTGCCTGGATTTATTGTCATATTTTTTCACATGAAAGAAAATTATTGAAAAAGTACATGGACTTTAGTTTTTGTTAAAGTTCAGATTTTGCGGCTGTAAACATCCAAAAAGTCTATTTGTTGCAGATAAAAGTGTTGATGTGATTTATTTACATGGCTGGATTACTTATTTTTTCTAATGCTTACAGTAACATTTCACTTGAGCAACAAGGTCACCTGCTGTGATCTTAAAGTCCTTTAAAGCCTTTAAAATCCAATGTTAATTGGCTGTAATATCATTTCATTACTCAGACCAACATAGTAACTTCCATTATGGTTCCAACAAACCAAAGTCATCTGTGTTGTTTATTCTTCCCTTCATGTTTTCTCCATGCAGGTGGGACGCTGGCTGACTACATACAGAAGCGATGTAACTCGCTACTGGACGAAGACACCATCCTTCACTTCTTTGTGCAGATCTTGCTCGCCCTGTACCATGTTCACAACAAGCTCATCCTGCACAGGGACCTCAAGACTCAGAATATTCTTCTTGACAAACACCAGATGATTGTCAAAATCGGAGACTTTGGCATCTCCAAGATCCTCGTCAGCAAAAGCAAAGCTTACACGGTGAATCGTCTTACCTCTTCCCTTCATTTTTATAATTCTAAATTGCATTCTGAAATAGAATTAAAACCTCCTTTATTTCCTGTTACAGGTTGTCGGGACCCCTTGCTACATCTCCCCGGAGCTGTGTGAGGGAAAGCCGTATAACCAGAAGAGTGATATCTGGGCTTTGGGCTGTGTGCTGTATGAGCTAGCAAGCCTCAAGAGAGCCTTTGAGGCTGCTGTAATAAGAGCATATACTTTATACTGTCCCGTTTTGGGTGTGATGATAATACTGCATTATTGTTTTTACATTACTCTTCTTCTCCTTAAATGTATAAATTATAAACTCTTGCTGTGTGCAAAGGCATTCAAACCATTAGAGCTACTCTGTTTACACAATGGGGGATTCTTAAAATTTCTCAGAATATTTCATAAAAGCACCCGCATGTTGTCCCACTTTAAAGCACAAACAGATTGCTACTGCTTCTGATATCCACTCAGATCAATAATTCATTCAAATCTTTTTTGCTTTTGCTCAAGTCTGTTTTCACTACCGATTACACTGCGGTTTAGTGCTGTGAAAGATTCTTGTTTTGACAAGGATTTAGGGTAGATGATGAGAGATTATGCTTTTCACATCAATCTGTGATGCATCTTATGATTTCACTCCTTCATTTTTCTCTCAGAATCTCCCCGCCCTCGTTCTGAAGATCATGAGCGGCACCTTTGCTCCGATCTCAGACCGTTACAGCCCAGAACTCCGACAGCTAATTCTCAACATGCTCAATTTGGATCCATCCAAACGGCCTCAACTCAATGAAATAATGGCTCTCCCCATATGCATCAGGCCCCTGCTTAACCTCTACACAGATATAGGAAATGTAAAAATGCGCAGGTACAGTCTTTTTGCTTAATTAATAATGAAATAAGATTATTTTAACTACAAGAGTTTTGATGTCAGATTGAGATTTATTATGTTTTGTGTAGTGACTTCTGTCTTTATCAATATCTTCTTTTCTTCCAGGATTGAGAAACCTCTGTCTACGGTGCAAACTGGTCCTCAAGGTAGACCAGGAGGGAGAGTTCCTGCCAACAGGTCAAGAGGTGAAGCATGTAGTTATTTGACCATAGTACTGGCTGATCTAGACTGATAGCGTCAGTTACAAAAATTGTTGTTTGCTTTTTTTGGGCTGAAACAGACAGATCAGTTGGTTTAGGACCAGGAAAGGTGCATTCCCTCCCGCTGTCTTCTGTGTATACGTGGGGAAGTGGCATCTCGACCCCTCTCCGCCTCCCGATGCTCAACACGGAAGTGCTTCAGGTCTCTCTGGGCCGCACTCAAAAGATGGGTGTGACCAAGACTGGCCGTTTGATTACATGGGAGGTTTGTGTGTGTGTGTGTGTGTGTGTGTGTGTTCTTTGTTTTTTCTTTTTCTTTTTTTTACTTTGACTGCTTTTCCTGAAGTACAAATGTTCCCTGTAACTCTGACACAGTGCAAAAGGAGCAGCTTTGATCTGATATGCTCTCCTCAGCCTTGCTGATGTTTCCACTGTTAAACGTCCAAATATAGCTGAAAGAAATTATGAGCCAGTACTTGTTGTAGCAAACAAGAAAATCCCAGAAAGTTTTAAAGACTCAAATAGCAATATTACAGGACAGCATTGTTATGGTTGCTTGGAGAAGCTACAGTACTAAACAGACAACATCAGATTGAAGGATTTTAGCACTTTTTTATCCATATTTTGAGTTTTAAGATACTCTTGGAAAAGCATAAATTCTGTACATGGGTATTTGTATACTTTAAAAGTAACATCTGGAAGGCTTGAATATTGCAGACTCGTGATTTCCTCTTATTCTGTTACTGCCATAAAGAGACTCTCTGCTCACTTTAGTCTAATAACATTTTTTGTCACAGGCTCCATCAGTGGGGTCCTCTGAGGCCAGTCTTCCTGGTGTGGTGGAGCAGATCCAGCCTCAGTTTATTTCTCGCTTCCTCGAGGGTCAGTCTGGAGTCACCATCAAGTCTGTGTCCTGTGGTGATCTCTTTACCACCTGCATGACAGGTAGGTGGGCCATTTGTCTTTGGATACCCATCAGAGAGATCACAGCCGTGCCAATCAGTTTAGTTAGGAGCTGTGCTGTAGAAAATCTCTTTATGCTCATCCCCTAAAACACTAAACCGGTGTTTGAGTGCAAACTTTGGATACAGCCAACCATCTCTTTATCTTGATATTGTGAATCTACCTGAACATAACCCTCATGCTTGCCTGGCAGTTAGGAATGGTTGTTTCTCTCATTCTCACACTGTGGTACACTCACAGCGTGTTTTTGAAGGGTTTTGTCAACCCATCCAACACCACAAAGCCGATAACACAGGATTAAAGACTCTTTTCTCTTAGCTCATGTCTCTTTCATCAGTTTTCACTGTTGTGTTGCAGATTAGTGTTTCCTAGATGGGGATTAGAAGCATTCTGTTGGCCTCTGTAAGAATACACCTACACTCATCAACTAATAGTCCTGTTAATCCCTTCTTTTCATTTCCAATTTGCAGACAGGGGCATTATCATGACGTTTGGTAGTGGAAGCAACGGCTGTCTAGGACACGGGAACTTCAATGATGTAACACAGGTACACTATTTGAATGCCTTAGTAAATGCAATGATAGCTGCCAGTGTAAGAAATTAGGTATACCCTAATAAAAGTAATACAGTTAAAGGCAACAGCTTCTTTGTAAATTCCACTCAAATCAACTTGTTTAGATTAATAAAGGTGGATTACATGTTAAAGAAATCTCTCAATCAGTAGAAATTCTGTGACCCTGAAGTTAGTCTATAATACCATTTAATCAGCAGTGCACTACTGGAAACACTGTGTGGTTTAGGTGAGAGAGCTAGTGTGCAGGAGGCAGCGCACATGATGCCCACAAGCTAGTGGTGAATGTGCTGGAATATTAGCTGGGTTGTTGGAACACTGGAGCAAAAAAATACAGACGTCGTCCTAAAAAGCTGACAGGTTAGACTTCATTCCACACGCTTCTACACAAGCTTGTGTGTGTTTTGCAATTTCACAGTGTTAAAATAATGTCTTTTTTTCATGGCTTGATGTGCTCTCCCTCATATTTTTACAGAAAAGCACACATTAAAAGCAGACGTGCCTTAACATGTACAATGAATTGATAACAATGAAATAATAATGGATGAATGAATAATTAAAAGACTTTATAGAAAGAGATGGTCGTTAAAAAGACATTTTTAAAATTTATTAGGCAATAGATAGTACAGAAGCAGACAGGAAACAAAGGGAGAGAGAGGAGTGAATTCAACCAAGAATGATGCAGTTTCATTTTATACAGTTAAATGAATGCTATGAGGGCGCAACGTCCCTACAGATTTTTGATGAAAAGCTTTCATTTCATTGATGACACTGTTTTTGTTCTCAGCCCAAGATAGTGGAGGCTCTGCTTGGTTACGAGCTCATTCAGGTGTCCTGCGGTGCTTCCCATGTTCTCGCTGTGACCAATGAAAGAGAAGTTTTTGCCTGGGGAAGAGGAGACAATGGTATAGTAAACAAACCAGTTTTTATTTTCTTCTTTTTGGTGTTTGCTTGTGTGGTTTATGACAGCTGCATCTCAACACAGAGCTTAATGGTTGGGTCTCTGTCTGAAAGGTCGCCTCGGGCTCGGCACCCAGGACACCCATAACTCTCCACAGCAAGTGTGTTTACCTGGCGACTTTGAAGCCCAGAGGGTGGTGTGTGGAGTTGACTGCTCCATGATTATTAGCAACCAGCACAGCATTGTGGCATGTGGAAGCAACAGGTGACTATTCTGGTTCTTGATTCAAAAGTGTGACAAAAATGAGGAAGTGATGAGCAGCGTTATATAACGCTGAGACAACGTTTTCACTCCATGTTTTCCGTAAAAAATGCTAACATTTTTTCACTCTATAAACTCGATCATGTGGGTTGATGGTGGTAGGTTAAAAGGTCAGAGAGGTACTTTCCTAGTGCACAACGTGTGAGACAGCATTCTCTTAAAATGACAAAGCCTTTGCATTCACTCAGCGCTAATCCCGCTCTCTCAGAGAGGATGTATGTGTGAATAGGAGAGGGCAAGAGTAGTAAACAGCTTTGTTCACACTTCTGTGGCTTACAGACATGAAATACATACACAGTAGCAGTGAACTCAGCTCCAGACCTTAAACATGTATTGAATACTTGATAAATATGAAACTAAAAGATTACTGGCATTAAATGATAATTATTCTTCATTGATGGGTAAGAAGAACTTTATTGCACGATATTCATCAAAGTGTTCCAAAAATAGCAGGTGGAACTATTTATATACCATGAAACTTAACAGACTTCATAGCCAACGGGATGGAAACTTGATACACATGATAGCAAACTAGACTGGAACGTCTGCCTACTTGGGATTTTTTCTATATTACATAATGTCAGATTTGTTTTCTGGATTTCACCGATTGCAGCTTTTAGCCAAAAGGCAAAAAAGAAACGATACTTATGAGCGAGTGCTGGTAATGTGTTTGTTTACAGGAAACAAACAGTCTTATATTCTCAAATGTATGCATGCTTAAACAAACACTTAAGATTTGGACGAATACTACAGCATTGTGTCTGTTAAAAATGTTTGTTTTGTTGTTTTATTGTACTCAGGTTCAACAAGCTTGGCCTGGATATGATCACAGCTGGAGAGGAACCGAATCCCTTGAATCAAGTGGAAGAAGTTCATTCTTACACTCCAGTCCAATCAGCCCCACTCAACACTGAGAAGATTGTTTACATTGACATTGGAACGGCGCATTCTGTCGCTGTTACAGGTTCAAGAAATTCACAATATTATTCTCTTTTTTGGAAAGAGTGTCGTTTGTAGCTATTATAGCATTTCTTTGCGAGTGCCTTTGTGTGTTAAGTTTAAGTCCAAAGGTGGACCCAAATACAGACTGGCACACAGAGTAATACACAAAGCAAGCTTTACTTTCATGCTGACAATAAGTTCCAGGGAGGAAAAAAGGGTGACTAATCCAAAAGTACAAAAACTGCCAACAAGCACATGACTTAGAAGCAGCACCTTATGAGAGAAGCAGGTGGTACAACAGATGAGTTGACAAAGAGGAAGACAGAACTACTTATACACAGAGGGCTGATTGGAAATGGGAAACAGAAGGGAAACCAGACAAAGGTGAAAACTATCAAGATGATCAACAAACAAGGGATAAAATCCAAAGCAGGATACAAGAGAAATCTAGGTATCAGAATAAAGCAGGAAATTAATCAAGGACACAACTAAAGGATAAATAAACTAATTTGAGGGGAACACAGAAAGACTAAATAGAGAGAGGAGCAGATATTTTAAATAGCTGATTGTTAGAGATTGCTTAACGGCAAATGTTTTTCCTCTTTTTGCATCTATACAGTCTGTTTATCTGCATCCAGAACCTGCTCAAATGTGATTGGTTAGCACCCAGACTAAAGCTGACTAGAAAAACAGAAACCAGAAAGATTGAAGAGATTAGCCCTGACAAAACAAATTCAAATTCAAATTCAAATTTTATTTGTCACGTACACAGTCATACACAGTACGATATGTAGTGAAATGCTTGGACAACTGCTCGTGACCTAAAGAAAACAAAAAAGGAAAAGACTATGAATAAGATAGGAAATAAATATGAAAAATTAAAAAGGGTAAATTTAACTAGGAAGGAATAAAATATAAATTAAGGTTAAAAATGAAATAACTGTACAACACAAATTAGAATGAAGGGTAAATTTAACTGGGAAGAATAAGATAAAATATATAAATTAAAGTTGAAAATAAAATAACTGTACAACAAAATACACAATACACAATATAGAACTATATAAGAATGTATGAAGAAATCTAAATATAAATAAATATATACACAATAACAGCAGCTGTACAAGTATTAACCGGAAATGAAGAATATAGTGACCAGTGTTGTGCAAAAACAAAGTCCAGAATGTCCAGTGTGTGTAAGAACTGTATGTGTGGGTCAGTACTGTGTGGTGGTGTGATTGAGAGACCGTATCGCCTGCGGGAAGAAGCTCCTCCTCAGTCTCTCTGTGTTGGTCTTCAGGGAGCGGAATCGCTTTCCTGACCTCAACAGAGAGAACAGTCTGTTGTTGGGATGGCTGAGGTCCTTCACGATCTTCCTGGCCTTGGTCCAGCACCGCCTGCTGTAGATTGAGTGCAGGTCAGGGAGCTGACTGCAGTAGTTCCCTTGCTTTTGACAGCATTAGGTTTAGTGGGATGCAACAAAGAATCCTGAATAATGTCTGTGACCTCTTTCTTTTTTTTCCCGCAGACCCTTGTCAGGCAACTGCGGTACAAAAATTACTATTACTGCAATTCATTAAAAACGTAAATTTTTCTTATCCGCACAAGGGAAAAGCTGCTAACAAAGTAATTTCACCACTAGTGTAATTCCTAAATTTTTTCTTGGTTTATGTCTCCACGTTTTCGTTGTTCAGAAAATGGTCAGTGTTTCACCTTTGGCAGCAACCAGCACGGTCAAATTGGCTCCAGCTCCCGACGTAGCAGCCGTGCCCCCTGCAAAGTGTCTGGCCTGCAGGGCATCACTGTGGCTGCCTGTGGTGACGCCTTCACCTTAGCCATAGGATCTGGTGAGTAGATGCATTTATTGAGTCATGTTTGTAACATTGCAACAGATTTCTTTTTGAACCACGTTTCTTTTGAGACTTGAGTTTTGTGAACAAGAATCCTCAAAATATGTTGGATGGCTGACAGAGGAAACTGCAATATAGTTTTAAGTAAAGTGTGATATCAGGTTAATATACTTATGAGTAGAAAAGAGTAAATATCACGTCTTGAAGTTTTTGAAGACCCTGCACACCTGCAAAGGGGCTTTCAGTTTTTTCTGGCTGCCGTTCAGGTTGAAGATGGGCCGGGGATGTAGTACAGTTTGAGAGTTGACTGGATTACTGGAACCAATAAGAAGGAGAAAAGTGTGTGTACACACAGCTTAAGCTGCAATCAGGCCAAATCTGTTTTTCTGGCAAGGGAGACTTGCTTGGTATGCCAGAGAAACATAAACTGTGAGAACTACCATGTCTAATTATATTAGCCAATGAAACTATAAATTACTGTTAGACATTTCTTTTTACCTCTCAGCTGTAAAAGACTGATGGGGTATTATCATCAACCTGCCGGGTAGGTGATGTGGAGTCCCAAGTTTGTGAATGCAGTAACTGACATAGGAGTTTCAAATTGATATCATAGGTATAACTATAAAAAAAACAACAACGAAAAAAACGGGTGACTTCAAATCGATAACTTGAGAAGGAAGTCAACTAGGATTTTGAAATGGATAACATTAGATTTAATCTGATAGAGACCACATTTCATTGATAGCTGTTGTTTAGCTGCTTTACATGGGTATTTTATTATATCTCAATTTGACTCTGACTGGCTGTGTCACCACACAGTTATAATGTACAACACCAATTCTGAAAAAGTTGGGACCTAGGAGTTGGTAGCCTGAGAGCTCGACAGTCATAAACATTCCGTATTGATTTCTCTAAATTCTCTGAAATCTTTGATTATGTATTTACTGCAGATTACAAGAGATTCACAATTTAATTTTGAGGAACATTGTTCAGAAATTGTTTCACAATTTGTATATGCAGTTTTTTGCAGATTGGTGAACCTTTGGTCATCTTTACTTGTGACAAACTGCCTTTCTAAGATGATCTTTTTATACCCAGTTAGTTGCTGACCTGTTGGCGATTAAACTAATGATTTGCAAACAACTACCCGTACTGTTCCTCCAGCCGTTTCTATTTAGTACCACTTACTTTCTCCAGCCTCTTCTTGCCCAATGCCAACTGTTTTGAAATGCATTTCTATGATTAAATTAAAAATATTCAAAATATATTTCTTAATATCGTCATTTTGTCACTTTAAACATTTGATATGTTTTCCATGCTCTATTATGAGTAAAATATGGGTTTTATGAGATTTGCAAATAATTGGATTCTCTTTGGACAGCATCTCAAGTTTGTCAGAAGTGGGTTTATAGCGTCAACTCCAAAATAAAGCCGATAAAGATGATCATTGCGGTAGATTCTTCAGCAAGTTTCACATTTCTTCAGGATTATTTTCATGCCATCCCAAAGATAAACCCATGATATACTTGATTGTTGTACTAAGAAAAGCTTTAATATTTAAGAAAAACATAGATTATATTGGTAGCGTTACTTAAACACAGTGGTAGGTAACAGTTTTTTGTGTGTGTTGCTCTTAAAGCTGATGGTAAAACAGTAAAATGTCAAATTAGTGATTGGCTCCCTGGAAAGAAGCCAGCCGTGCTTTCTTTGTGGAATACGGGTTTTGTTCGACTCTGATTTCCATCAGATCGAGCTATTGTGCTGCCACTGCAGGAGAGACGGAGCCATCAGTTAAAGACCTGTGTGAATTAATGCATGCTGGGGTTCTGACTCTCAATTTGGTGACCATCCTATCCTCTTCTTCTTCTGTTTCTGTTCTCTGCAGAAGGGGAGGTGTACACGTGGGGCAAGGGGGCCCGTGGCCGTCTGGGAAGAAAAGAGGAGGATTCTGGGATACCAAAGCCAGTGCAGCTCGATGAAAGTCACCCGTTCGTGGTGACATCGGTGGCTTGTTGTCATGGCAACACCCTGCTGGCAGTGAAACGTAATATTTCACTCATTACTCTCTGTTAACAAACTCTGTGAGATGTTGGGATGTGGTGAAATATCACTACTCCCCAGATGAAAGACAAGCTTAACTCGAGACAAGGTCCCCCGATAACATCAGCAGAGTTGCATGTTCATCTGTGTACAATAGTGAAAGGACTCATTTGTAAGTTTGAAAGCTCAGCTGTGGCCAAAAATGTGGAGTACTTCCATCTTTTACAGACGGGGTGCCAGGGGGTTTGTTTACACAAGAAATTAGTTTTTATGTTACAAACATAATTTTTATCTGCACACTAAAAGTAATTGTAGGTCACAGAGGTCTACGGAGTGGAACAGAAAATGGCAGTATAAACAGTGATGGTACAAAACTGAGGGCTTGGATTCCACTTTATATTTGAAAACAGCTGCAGAATTAGAGAAGATTAAACTGCATCAGAATTCAATAAGTGACAGAGATGCTGGTAATCCAGCAACAGGCTGCAGGGCTGCTGTTTAAATGGTTCTCAGGCCTGAACTGAGCAGCAGATATATAGAGACCAACCACTGTGAGAGGTTCAGATTACAGTACAGACCATTGCACAAGTGCCCAAGTGAGTGAGTTTCACCCTTCTAACTCAAACACTTCAACATTAAACAACAGAAATGGAAAGAAACGGAGGGTGGTCCTAAAAGTCCAGTATAAAGATAAAAAAGGATTGTTTTGAGCTCTGAATCATGCGAAGCTATTATTTTTTTTTTCCTAAGAGAGAGATAAAATTGTTTGTATAGTTTTTTTGGACAACAAGAATGTTTCGTCATGTAGGTCAGTGTTTTCTCTACGTGACCTGATGTGTGTGGATGATATGACACATGCTTGAACAATGTTTCAGTGATCAGGATCTGGTGAACATTAAGAAACACATATGTGAAGGCCAAAAGCTAAAACACACAAGTACAAAATCACCAGGTTTCAAAGTTTTCCTTAAGGAGGAAAGAATTAATTTAATTGAACACAAAATTAGTTCACAAACCTCTGAAAGGAACTTAAATTCTTAATGTGAGCTTTAAATTGTGAGTGGAAGGCAAAAGTCTTCACAACAATTACTTGAAGACAGAATTAATTAATAATTAATTACTTTAAACAATGAACAGAGAAAATGTAGATAATTGTGTGCAGATGTAGCTGTGGAGTCACTGTGAAAAGCAAACATGTTTTTCTGGTCCAGTAGCCCAGTAGTAGTAATTGTGATTAAACAATACCAAAGAAAATGCAGCACTGCAGACCACTTCTCCAAAATTTGTAATATTGATCCTAAATTTAAAAACAAATAAGACCTGAAGTTCTTTTGTATTATGTCGTATTTTTGCCTTTATTAGTCATGAGTGAAAAAGCAGATGGAGAAAGAAGAGAGCAGAACATCTGGACAGCAGGAATCACTCTGTTGCAGTGTTAAAATTTCCATTAGACTAGTCAGGACTACCAGACCTCCTGTAAAACATGACAAGCTCTTACTGATATTCATTTAACTGTCAGCCTCATTATTGGCCCACTGATTTATTGGGTTAATACTTTTTGTGCAACAACAGACGAGTTGTTTGCTGCTGGTTCAATTCATTCATCGATTAACCTGCTAATTGTTTTCTTTGTGGGATGAATGAATATTTTGTCTAACCAATGTCAAAATGTAGCGAAGATTTCAAGCCAAGGCAGCATCTTCAGATTAATTCAGTACAAAAACCAAAAGCTGTTTATCTTACTGTTGTATTTAAAGGAGAGAAGATAGAACCAGTTCCCAATTAGGTCAAACACTTGCACCTGATTCAGCTCTACTGATATTGCCATTCTGTTTCTGCTTCAGCTCTGCTCGAGGAGGCCATCTCCAGATGATCTTGTCTTGAAAAATAACCCACTCTGCGGCCATCGTGAGACCCGACAGCAGACTGTGGAGGAGGACCGCTTCCTCCTAGAGACCCATCTGTGCTGAATTTAGAAAGATTTCCTTTCAAACCCCAGCTGCAGCCTCAGCCTTTCTCTCTCTATCTATTTTTCTTTCAGGTGTTTCATTCAATGGTTTGATTTCATGGTGCAAAGCACAAAAAAAGGTCACAGCCTTGCTGCAGGTTTTATCTCACATCAGGTCGGTGAAAGGAATGTTGCAACACAGATACTGAAGCTAGATTACAGGAAGTCATTAGGCTGGGCTCATGCAGTGAGCTATTGTGCGCTCTCATGTGCAGTGTCAGCACAAGAAAGACCATTAAAAGGTCAAACTGGTTTGAGCTCTCTCAAGCAGCCGGTCAATGAAACGAAAAGAATGAAGCCACTTGAGCGTTCATCAGACAAATGAAGTCAGCACCACGTCAGTGGTCACTTTGCGATTTATTGGATTACAGCGGTGTTCGAACCACATAACGACGGACCGAGCTGTGTCTGAAACCACTCGCTTGTTCGCTCATTCACTTTTGTAAGATAAACAGCAGTTCAATGAGAGGAGTGAAAGGAGATTTCAGACTGTTTACTGACTGCAGCAGGAAATGGTGCACATGCTGGGCTGTTTTCATTCCAGTGTAGGACTCTGAACAGCAGATGAAGTTCACAGTTTTATCATTATTGTCCTTGTAACTCATTGAAATCATGTTGCTGTACAGAACAGTGTGAAAACTGTTCATGTGATGACCAAAATCAAAACCTGCCAAAGTGTTCAGAGTACAGTAACTATTTCATTCAATGCCTCACTCTGATGCAGACACAACCATGCTGAAAAGGGTTAACGACAAATGAAAATACCACAATGTTGAAAAGCCCCCATTGTAGTAAATAAAGACAAACTACACCGCCTCAATTTAACTAAAGAAATAAGGGTCTTCCGTTGGGTTGAAGGTTCAGTAAGATCCTAACCCCACTGAGAATCTTTGGGATGTGCTGAAGAACATGTTGCACAGCGGTGCGGATCTCCCCTCATCAATATGAGATATTGGAAAATAAATGTCACAGCTGAGGACCTTTTTTGGGCCAGTCAATGTAAACTTGAACCTGTAATAATGAACGATTTGAAGAAAGTTGCACACAGAACCTGAAGTCCTAATAATGCAAAGTGGGGTCAGTTTGAAGTACTTAATATGCTGCTGCATGGCTTCATTTCCAATAGTAAATCCAGAGATCATCTGCAGTTACATGATTATATTCTGTATTTAGGCTGAGAGCAGTCTGAGACTGCACAGCTCAGCTTAGGCTGGAAGTTCTGTCTCTCCAGAGACGAGGGGTAGATTGACTGTCTCAATTCAATTAATGATTGGATGAAAAATATTTGAATTTAACTCAGACAAAGCAAATGTCTCTATTTCCCGCTCCAGAAAGCATATACCTCTATATCCGTTTTCTTTCTCATTCACCCTAAAAGCTAACAACACAATCTTGAGATCATTTTTGATGTTTGACTTATTCACATCAAGGCTCTTGCTTGTTCACTGTAAGAAAAATTGCTCAAAAAGTGAACAAGAGATGCTCGTTCAGGTCTTCATCACCTCCTGCTTGGATTATTGTACTGCTCTATTTTCTTGTCCGCCAAAGCGTTTATTAATCGCCTCCAATCTGTCCAAAATGCTGCTTCAAGGATTGTAACTCGCTCTCAAATTCTCTCATATCACCCCATCATTACAGCATCTGCACATTCAGGTTTAAGTATCATCTTGAAATCTTGGTTCTTACTTTCATGGCTTTATGAGGTGAGGCCCTCACTTACATCGCCTGTCTACTCAAATCCTTAGGCTGGCTGATAGAGGTCTTCTTGTGGTTCTCTGTACCCGTGTAAAATCTAAGTGGGTACTGTCTCTTAAAACCAAAACTGTGGAACAGCTTACCACTCTTTCTTCACACGCTTGAATCTGTGGCATTCTTTAGAAAGCTTTAAACTTCTCAGACAGAGATTTGGTTGTTTTTCTGTTGTGTGCATTTTGCTCTTCTTTTTGTTTGTTTTTCTCCTGTTAACTCTGTAAGCACTTTGTGACTCCTTTTCTTAGAAAGCGCTATATAAATCAATTTTACTTACTAATCTGCATCTGGATTAGTTTGTGATATTTTCTCGTAAACATCAAGGTGATGTCTGATTTCACTTCGATAGGTATTTCTGATGACACAAGATGTCTCACAGCGCTGAAATATCGTTCCAAAAATTCCTTGATCTATTGTGACTAACTGTTAGTTCCACTTCAAGCAGGTAGTCACTTCTAAGTGTGGGCCAAGACTCACCTCTGATAAAGATTTTAATGCATATTTATATATATATCCATATAAACAAACCAAAATAATCACAGAAAACAGTTTCAAGTACAAGCACCTCAAAATGCTCATTTCCACTGCTGCTTTTTTAAATATGCATGTATTTTTTATATTTACATTCACATTAAATTTGACTCACAGTGACATTTTCTTGTATTGTGGCTTTTATTCCAATAGAGAACATTTAAAAAGACAGACTTTCAAAAAATGAAACATTAACCTCGTCTACCCTCCTCTTTACGCTGTCATTAATATGTAGTTTAATACTATAAACACACCGAGTTATTTTTAATCAGTGGGTATTATTCCAGACTTCTTCACCTTTTCTGGGGACATGGCTCAGCTGCCTTTGTTGTCCTGTGTGATGATGTAATGGTGATGTAATTCAGTGGCAATACAGCAGGTGAAAACCGATCCAGATGTGAAGCTGTGCGCTTTATTGACCCCGTGAACGAAATGACATCCGGATGTTTATTTCTTTTAATGAGTATAACAGCAGACGTCAGGGGTTATTTTTAATGAAGCATTTATATGAAACATTTAAGCTTGAAACGAAATAATACCAGGCTGGTGTGCTGCTCCATCGCCAGGGGGCGCCTCTCCCCTCTGACTGTGCTGTAGGTGTCTGAGTTGGATTCAGTTTTTCTTTATTTAATTTACATCTTTACTGCGAAACCTCTCTCACGTGTGACTTCACCAGCTGGCCCTATGTATGTTTAGTATTTTTTTATTTATTTAATTATTTATTTATTATCACTCTCCGACACTTTATGTGGACCCCTGATGGCGTCTAAGCTGATAAATAAACATTGATAATTATCAAATGTGAAATGAAAGAACGATGAGAGCCCACTGTAGCCGGACAAAGGCTCGATTAAAGCCTCATAAAGAGGGGATCACAGAGATAAAATGGTGTGAACAGAGCGTTTCAGCTCCTTGACTCCTCCTGCCTGGAGGAGGAGGAGGAGGAGGAGGCGGGGCTCGGTGCACCTAAACAGACGGAGGGCTCTTGCTTTGCTCTCAGTGTGTCAATTCTGCATCACCAGAGGAGTCATCCGCACAGCTGTAGCAGCTCTGCCGGCCAACATAAACCGTTTCTCCAGCCTGTCTCGGACCGTCCAGCCTTTGTTGCCGTCAGACAGCTGAGCACTGCGGGAGGACGAATCTGCAGAGCCCGATCCGTCGGCGGCGGAAGGGACGTGATATGAACCCCTCATCGGCTTCACGGCAGCGCAGCTAGACAGCCCCGTTTGCGGGGGGATCGAGAGGACATTTGTACCTTTAACCTGCAGCCGAAGGCCCGACAAAAGCGACAGAACCTGCAGCCATGCCCGGGTTTGATTACAAGTTCCTGGAGAAGCCAAAGAGACGCTTCCAGTGTCCGCTCTGCAGCAAAGCGATGCGGGAGCCCGTCCAAGTGTCCACCTGTGGACACCGCTTCTGTGACACCTGCCTGCAAGAATTTCTGAGGTATGCTGTGTGTTTGTGTGCACAGGGATCCACCTCTTTGCAGGCGACACCGGAAATTACTGGCGTAGTTTCGGTCGAGCAGCAGTAAATAAAAGCAAAGGTGTGCCCTGCTCACCTTTCTTCCGTCTTGCCTGGGTCTGCATTAATGTTGGTCTATTGTGTAGCTGCTGCCCAGAGCAATAACACAATATGAGGCCTGGTAAACAATGCCTGGCTTTAACCCTCCTTCTCTTGATGTCAGGTGTGTTTTTTCTCTCTCTGCATGTGCAGCTTTAGCCTGGAATAATATTTCATCATTGTTAATTATCGCTTAGACTCATTAATGTGCAGATTTTTTTTCTCCGAGTGTAATCTTTATGTTAAAGTTTGGGGGTTTTCCCCCCTTTTTACATTAATGTTTCATGCTGTGGTGATTGTGGCCTGCAGAGGGCCCCTGCCTCCCCATCATGTCTGTGTTTCTGGGCTGGGGTGGATGAGTCTGCGTGGGTTGTGTATGTGTGTGTTTGAGTATGTTCTGGAGTCCAGGATTAGACAGTGGTTCATTGGTCGGGGGCATCTGGGGGCCGCTGAGGGACCTTTTGCTCAGAGGTCAGCAGGATGGCAGACCTCCTCACCTTTTAATCTGTTCAACACTGGACTCAGTGTTAAGATCCCTACAAACAGAGTCTTTGTTTTGTTCCTTTCAAAGATGGCCCTGTTGCTAATTATCCCACTACACCTACAGGACTCTCAAGCAATACACAGAATCCCCCAACAGCTTACCTGCAGATCACACACACCTGCATCAGGAGCTTCTTCTCCAGCCTGATTGGCTGCAGTGTCACCATGTAAAGTAGTAGATGAGTTTTTGTTTTGTTTTTTTTTTTATTTGATTTTGATTTTATTTATTAGCATTCAAATTCAAATCTCAGTGAAAACAGTGAAAAAAACAAAAACAAAGAGTGAAAACAGAACAAAAATCTACCATAAAGAAAGAAAGCATGAGACAAGGCTAATCAAAAGGTATTGGCTGAAGCATTTGCTTATTACGCCAACCCTTTTCACAAAATATCTTTTTGTATGCAGCTCCTGTACACAGGGCTTGAAGAAAATAATAAAACAAAGCAAAAACCAAACAAACAAAAAAAAAAACAAAGAAAAAAAAACTTTCCACCTTAGATAAGTAACTATATCAAAGCAAAAGAATCAAGAGGTTGGTTTTTTTTTTTTGAGTTCAGATTGTTGACTTCTGATTTGTTTATGTGATGTTTAGTTGCATTAAAATGTGTGCAGAAAAGCACTAATGGCCCTAAAAGCCACATCACAAAGATTTAAAACAGGAAACAAACAGTTAACAAATTTAGTTAATACTTAATAATTTTTTTTATAAACTGAAAAAAAATATTTTAAAGGTTAAAATTAACCTTGAAATATTTTGGTGCACTGATAAGTAAAATTTGTAGTTGATGATGATGATGATAGGGAAAAATCTAATTTTTGACCAAAATATCTGTTTTTAAATGGTTTAAAATTTCCTGCTTTTCTTTGTGTTATCTCATTTTACCTTAACTCGATTTGTGTTGTTTCCCTGTTGGTTGTGGACTATGAGACACTGAGAACTTTTTGTTTGTTTGCTTTTTTGAACAGAGAGTAGCCGATTAAATAAAAGATCTGATCTGTGTATTACAGTTGCGTTGCCCTCCACACTAGAAGGTCTAAAGACTTGATTGTGGGAGTTGTCATTCATAAGTTTGGCTTTTATTTCCCTTTTTTTTTTTTTTTTTTTTTTTTTTTAAAATCTGTACAGTGCGGTCTAAATGTGACTCACACTGTTTTGGAAAAGCTGTCTGATTACCACATTGTTCTTTTCTTTTTTTGAGCAAAAGTGCCGTCAGAACTTGATTCCTCCTCAATTTGAGAATTTGCTGGCGTAATAGATTCAAGTGAATGAAATGGGACTGAAGAACATTTGTAGTGTTTTGTGCTAAACATTTGAATTATTGGAAATATGATCATTAGTTGTTTCATGTGTAGGCTGAAAACTAAATTCACACATCAGATTTGAATAAAAGTAGATCTGGTCTCTTTGTTCAGACTATTGTTTTTATGTTATGGAGTCT